AAATTTCGAATGCGGCTAATTCCGATCCCTGAGAGCTCAGTGTTTGTTCAGAATTGCTAGCCAAAATGCTTCCATCTCAGCCTCGAGAAGGTTGGACAGTCTAAAAGAAAGTGTGGAGATGATTCCACTTCATCTTCCTCTTGACAGCTGATACAAAAGGTTCAGTTGAGATTCCACGTCTTACCACGTTGATACCAATCGCACAATGGCCTGTCAGAACCCCCATCGCTAGCCCTTTAGAGGTAACGATATATAAAATATGTGCTGCAGAAGAGAAACACAGAAGGACCCGGTCTTCCTTAGCCTAATAGCAGTTCGTGCTGCGACAATTCTGTCTGCAATATCCGCAGGTGCCGTGTTCCAATAATTCCGGTTTTACAAGTTTGGCCTTCTCTAGTGAGTTCCATCAGACAAGGGCTCCTTGAAACATGATCTGATTTCCTAGCGCTAATCAAGTAATTTGAGCGAGAGACCTCACCTTTTACCGAAAGCTCCTCTACAGCAGTACAAGGCAACCGACACCTTTCTTACCCTTTCCTCAATGTTAGGCTTCCACGTCAGTCGCCGTTGATCGCCCACCTAGTTACCTGGTTCAGGTAACCTTGATCCATATCAAAAAGGGTGTCTAGAAATCGTGCCTAAACCAAAAGTTTCACATCATCTACATAGGCGATCAGCCGACAGCCCACTTTTTCCAGTTTCTATAGATGGTAGTTTACAACCGCAATCCGGAGCAGGGGGGTAGATAACACCACCTTGTGGAGTGCTCCTATTGACTCTGCGCTGAGTACGTGCGCTCCCCCACTCCTACGCGACAGTTCTATCACGAAGTAAGCTAAGCCTAATATAAAGCCTTAGATCCCTAGGGGAAACGTGAGAGCATTTTCCGACCTTCGGAATGAACGCAACACTGACTACCCTCCAAGCCTTGGGGATGTACCCGGTTTTCTCCCAGTAAATAGGATCCAACCAATTGCACGACACCTTATGAGCCCTTTGCAGCTGCGCAGGTATGATGCCATCGGTCCCCGACGACTTTGAACGAATTTATCGCCCAGGCCATGTGACGTACAAATTATCGCAAAGAAGTAGATTTGACTGTACTTCGAAGTACGAAGTACAAGAGCGAAAAAAGAAGTAATGTACTTCTGAAAGAAGTGCGTTTGGTCACATTATCTATGACCCAAATTTAATTTTTTTGTTGGCGTTTTGTTTTGTTTAATTTTATCGTCCCTACAGTGCAATAACTACAAAAAACTTAGAAATCGTTTAGTATTTTTTTAAAGGAATTTTATTCCTTAGTTATTTATCTATATTAAAAAAATATCTTTCACGTATAATTTCTCACTACATATCGACTGATGAGTGCAAGATCGGCCTATCTCGGCAGCTAGTTTGAAAACACCCTATCTCAGAAAACTCTTCAAGAACGCCGTATTTCAGAAGTTTATTGAAAAACACCGCCTCAAAATTTGGTTGAAGAATGCCCTATCTCAGAATTAGATTCAAAAACGCCCTAACTTTTGTGTTTTATTACACTATGCGACAGTCAAAATCGGGATGGGATGAAACCAACGGGAAATGTTACATCGGTGAAAAACAAGTTATACGTGTCCCGGCGTTTCGCTGGGCCACGTCTAGGAATCGAGATATATATATAACTATCATAAAGGGGAAATTGTCACCTTTGGTGGTCTNAAAAAAAAATAAAAATTACAATTCCTTTAATCTGTTCATATAACGTTTTCTATATAATCAACTATTTTGCCGGTAAAAATAAATGTATGAAAAAAAAAAATATTTTTTGCCTAAAATATTAAATTTTTTTAAAACTGTTGATTATATAGAAAAACGTTATATGAACAGATTAAAGGAATTGTAATTTTTAATATTTTTTTTTAATTTGTTTGAGCAAAATCGGACTGGTGGTTCTCGAGTTATGTCAAAAAAAAAAACCAAAGGTGACGATTTCCCCTATATGATAGTTATATATATATCTCGATTCCTAGACGTGACCCAGCGAAACGCCGGGACACGTATAACTTCTTTTTTACCGATATAACTTTCCCCGGTAGTTTGAACCCTTCCCGATCACTGACCCCTACCATTTGTCTCACAGTGTTATTTATTATTCAGTTCAAGATATAACATAGAATCACTATGCGCCATTCGTGGACCGCTAACGAGTGATGTCAACCCGGGGATAATTCTCCGATTTTTGTAGAATTTGTAATTCTATCCGGAATGGCTTTAAATCTTGTGGGAATTCAATATACAAACGATATTTATTAGAATATACCTATTGAGAATAAAATTACAACTTGGAATAACAATCTTCATTACGGTGTTATTTCTCACTTCGTTTTTGACGCAAAGCCAACGTCTGGCAAAGTTTTGAGTCAATAAAAAACCTCTCTCGATCTTAGTGTGACTTGTAGAAAATTACGAAAATTTCATTAATATTAATAAAGATTGACCTTATTATCTCATTATAATTAATGAATTTTGTTGGTTTTTAATAAAAATGAGAATTACTTAAATTGCAAAAGTTATTTTGGGGAATACCACTGAAAATCTTCGAAATCAGCTGGTTGCCTAGGAATGTGTGAAATCGAAACAAAACAAAAGAAATATTTGCCACCAAGCTATAGCAGCTTATGAAGTTAAAGTTTCTAAATATTTTAAAATAACTAATTATATCCAACATCAAAAAAAAAATCGTTTTTTCTTCATTTAAGTGGAAACATAATTATAAGAATAAAATCCATAGCCGCGGCGTTATTGCTTGAAGAGGAGAACGAGTCCCAGATTGCAGATGTGAAAGTTGAAAGCCAGAGATTTAGGTACATGTTTGATCCTTTTCGGTTGAGTGAAGAATCATAAGAAATTCATCTTGAACTGCATTACTCACCGCTCAAAGCCAGTGAAATTATAAACGTTGTTTGAGCACTCCACAACATTTGCATTTACTACAGAGTGGAAGATTTGAACGCAAAGGAATTCGATTTTGAAAGCAATCAGGAGGAGGGGAAGAACAAAGCTTATCCTTCCACGCCCATTTTCCAAAAATTTCTTAATAATATTATCTTGTACCAAAATTCTTCTTCACATACTAATGTTCCACAATTTGGATCCAATATTTACTAAAATATCGTAGTTTTTGTATTTTTCGAAAATACCGTTATATGGGAAGTGAGCCTAGTTATAGTGCGATTTCGCCCATTTTCAATCCCAACGACCTTGGATAAAGGGCGACCTACTTACCAAATTTCGTTGACATATCTCAACTTGTGCGCAAGTGCGCTCGGGTATAAAAAACTTTAGGGATGTTGAACTGACCAGAGCTCACTGTCACTAGTTTTTAATGTTAACTAAAATTATTATGAATCGAAATAAATCACATTCAAAAACTAAGAAATCTTACATTAGGCCTTTACGTGTGTATGTGTGTATGTTATCTTTGAACGTGTACTTCAAACAAACGCATAATTACTCACTGAAGTGGGTTAAACGTTTAAGCACATTGTACTGTACGTTTGTTAAAATATCAAATCTGAAAAATGAATCATCAAGAGAGAAATAATAAAAGAGTAAATATGTATTGAATAAAATGTCTAAAAATAATCGCAGCTTTTTTAAATAATCATAACAGCCAAGATATATTCAGCAACTAATAAATATACATATATGTATGTACATATAAGGGATATTGCGAATATTTGCATTCGGATTCGTTAAGTCAATGGTTCGCATCATTTCACACATTCGCATTCGATATTCGCATTCGCATCAAATGACACGAATATTTTGCGGATGCGAATGTGTACATGAGCAGAGAGTCCACTCTAATATGTATTGTTGAAATAGCTCTAACGGCCCGATTCTGTGCACTTGATAAATACCATTTTATTATAATTAGTAAATTTTTATTATTTATCAAGAATTGGAATTCTAGCACAGAAATCAATAGCTCTTTTCTTGATAAATAAAATTATTTTTTCTATCATTTGAATACTGAATGTGCCGGCATTTGAACCTGGGAAATATAGAATTTATAGCCGACATCTCTACCTACTCGGCTACGGCAGTCAAAAGATTTTTTTGCTTTTAAATTCATATTTCTGATATGTGACAATGAAATCAGTTCCACTCATGTGGAAATCAGTTCCCCTCTTGTCGAAATCGTAGAGCTTTTTATTTTACAAATATTCACACAGAATGCGATGGGAGCTATTACTTGATAAAAATCTTGATAAAATTTATTTACAAATAATTTATCAAGAAAACACAGAATTGGCCGGTAAGTATGTCTAACCTGGGTGTGGACAATAACCGGCTTTTAGCTTCAGCCGCTATACGGTTAAGTAGTATATCAAGCAGTATTGATTGATGGGCCTTCAACTGCTAAAATCTTATAAGCAACCGAAGATAATTTTAGATTCCTCCAGCGAAAGCGAAGGCTCGGATGTAGACATTAATAAATGTGAAATTAAAATTCAATTGTAGGCCTATCTTAAAGAAAAACGACCTCATATCGGCGAAAATCCTCTCGATTGGTGGAAACCCAAAGTAAAATACGACAAATTGACAGATCTGGCCCGCAAAATGTTGAGGGCTCCACCCGCCAGCGTTCCAAGTGAGCAATTGTTCAGTGCAGCCGGCCTTATATACGAGCCCCTAAGAAATCGTCTCATGGGAGAAAAAGCAGCAAAATTACTTTTTTTGAAATATTATATGCCCCTTTTGAACTTTGACTGCTACATTCAAACACTGTATAGGTTAAGCACTCGTTCAAGGTTCTAATAATTTACAAATTTTTTAAGTAAAAATAACGATAACTAAGTTGATTATAGCTTCTTTAATGTTATTCCTAACATTCGCATTCCGAAATTCGCATTCGCCAATGTGAAAAATATGACATTCGAAACATCCCTAGCCCATTTTGTTTCGATACGATTTAAAATATTTTGTTATATTTTTGCCATTCAAGTCGCAGTCCAAAAGAGAAAACTGTCGAATTCACTACTACCTTGTTGCATATGCCTTGATAAGAACTGATAACCGGTTGCTAAAGTACAAATGAACAGTCAGGCACGTTGCTCATACATAAGTATACACGAGTAGTGTCCAAAGAAGTATAAATACTTTAGTTTAAGCAAGAAGCTTTAGCAGCGAGAAGCTAAGCGTACAACTTGAAAACAATTCGAATCTTAGGAAAATGCAACGTTGGCTAAATCGTGTCGCAGTAGTAACAGGCGCCAGCTCTGGCATTGGGGCAGCTGTTGCCAAGGATCTAGCCAATAATGGAATGATCGTCGTGGGCTTGGCACGTCGCGTTGAACGTGTTGAGTCATTACGCGATGAAGTCAAGGCAGACGCACGCGACCGTATTCATGCTATCAAGTGCGACGTACGAAAGGAAGACGAAATCGTCGCTACATTCCAGCAAATCATTACAAAGTTTGGACCAATAGCTGTGTTGGTGAACAATGCGGGTATTGTACGATCCTCAGATTTAGCGGGCGATAATAACTCCGAGGATTTGCGCGATATCCTCGCCACGAATGTATTGGGCGTAGCAATTGCCACACGTGAGGCATTTCGATCAATGAAGGAGAATGGTGGTGATGGACATGTAGTAATTATCAACAGTATAGCCGGCCACCAAGTGCCTTTTACAAATAACTCAATTTCAATTTATCCTGCTTCAAAACATGCAATCACCGCGATGACCGAAAGTTACCGCCAGGAATTCTTCAGAAATAATACCAAGGTTAAAGTGACGGTATGGAAATATGTACATTGACTTATAATTTTCTGTCGAATTGTAAACCCCTTTTAATATTATGTTGGCATTTTTTAATAGAGCATCAGTCCGGGTTGTGTAGACACTGAGGTATTTACGGAGGATATGCGGCCTTACATCACAGAGATGCCCTTGCTGAAGGCGAGCGATGTGTCTGATGCACTAATTTACTGTCTGGGAACGCCACCACATGTGCAGGTAGATAATATATGTACATTAGAGTGGTTCACATTTTTTTTTAATTCCTAAACGCTACCTCAAATTATTGTTTTTGTGATAAAAAGGGGAAACGTATTTTTTTATAAAAACGCTGATGTTTTAATATTTTTTTCTTTTCGTGGCATGTTATAGTGCAGCTAAAAATATTGCTTTGCATGTAATTACTCTGGTATTATTGGGAAACATTCCCTTAATTACGTACCTGTCTTGGACAGTTAGAATGGGCCTAGTGCCCGAAAATATGCCTTCGAAAAGAGACTTAAAATTAAATCGTTGATACTGAAGGATTTAAGCACTGTCGTCACCAGGTTCCTGAGGTCAGGGGTTTCTGATTACTAATCTGATGTCAGATTTTCTAAATTTAAAATGGTGGATCCGAGTTTCAAACAAGTCCTATAATTTTCTTTTAAGTTTATCGCCATATTGGATCCGCCATTTTGAATTTAAAAAAACTAACTTCAGATTCATAATCCAGCGACCCAAAAACTCCCGAGTGACGAGTTTTTTTTTAATTGATCGCCATATGGGTACCGCCGTTTTGAAATTTGAAAACTGACATCGGATGCGTAATCAGCCACCTCAGAAACCCCCTGGTAACGAGTTTTAACCAATGACAACACTTAAAACCTTCAGTATCTTTTGTTGCTTTTCCAACAAAATGCGTGCTAGATTGCTACGTAGCAACTTTACACCTAAAATGCTACGGAAAGCGAGTACCTGTAATATCTTGATGTAGCGTTTATGAATTTCCAAAAAGAGTGTTGTTCAAAAAATGTACATATTTTTTTGCGTTGACAACAAATAACCGCTGAAGTCCAAAAACAAAAGTTGAATAATTTCGAAAATGTAACTCAGAATAAGTGTATGTACCTACATAATTTAAAATAAGTATTTTTTTTTTTAAAGCGGATTTAGNAAAAAAACTAACTTCAGATTCATAATCCAGCGACCCAAAAACTCCCGAGTGACGAGTTTTTTTTTAATTGATCGCCATATGGGTACCGCCGTTTTGAAATTTGAAAACTGACATCGGATGCGTAATCAGCCACCTCAGAAACCCCCTGGTAACGAGTTTTAACCAATGACAACACTTAAAACCTTCAGTATCTTTTGTTGCTTTTCCAACAAAATGCGTGCTAGATTGCTACGTAGCAACTTTACACCTAAAATGCTACGGAAAGCGAGTACCTGTAATATCTTGATGTAGCGTTTATGAATTTCCAAAAAGAGTGTTGTTCAAAACATGTACATATTTTTTTGCGTTGACAACAAATAACCGCTGAAGTCCAAAAACAAAAGTTTAATAAAATTCGAAAATGTAACTCAGAATAAGAGTATGTACCTACATAATTTAAAATAAGTATTTTTTTGTTAAAGCGGATTTAGTGGGTTATTGCTTAGAAACACATTTGTGCAAATAAATAATGTTTCTACTTTCAGATTCCTGAGCTGACAATTAGACCAATGGGCGAAGCATTTTAATTCAAAATAATTTACTGATGGTTGGAAAATCGACTGCCTCATAGATCATTTATATACAATTATAGCTGTACCCTGCCACGCCTTGCTGTGGGATATACCTGTTATATGGATGATAAATTATTATAACAAAGCGTTTCATATGTGTTTGATTTTGTAATAAGTACTTGTGTGCTCATAATATTTGTCGTTTTTCTATTCTCTGCATAGATATTAAGGATGTCTGGTTAGCCGACACGGGAACATGCAACCAGTGTTGCCGTTTTAGCCCTTTGGTGGATAGATTTAGCTACCACATACTTTTATTGGCCACATAAATTTAAAATTGCCCCTAGCCCTTTTTAGAATTTATTCATCCTTGGCATGAAAAAGTTGTATATGCTTAATTTTTTTTTTTTTTTGCATTTATGTAAGAGATGAATTTTTAAACTAAGAAAGACAGATATATATACATATATGTATTGTATGTTCCTTACGCTTACATACTGTAAAAGTATTGGGGCTGTTAACTTATCTGTTAACGATTTAACTATAGTTTAAAATAGATACGTTCACGGCCCTTAATATGCTAAATTTGTTAAATGACCCATAAAGTCAATTGACCGTGTATGTTCTTGTGGTGTGATTGTACCAGCATGCTGGTGTCGTTAGTGGTGAAATTAGCTCAATTTTCTAAGTAAAAAATATTTTGGCGGAAATTTCTTGCCCTATATGAGTCAAAGCCGTGTTTGTGGAAGATTAAGTTCACGATATTGCAGTTGAAAATTACAAAAACAAACAATGTTTAACAAAATGCTAGAAAAATTATGAAATTTCGGCTCTAATCATTTCGATCTTTCCTCGACCTCATTTGTAAAGAAATAAATATTGCACCAGCATGCTGGTAAGTTATAAGCTTCGAGCCTGATGGTACAATCACTTGATGGAACCAGCAAGCTGGTGTCGTATATTTCCTCTTTTATACAAAAAGGTTTTTGGTTGGAATATTAGCTTCTTTTCCAAAGTGCATTGTTTTTATATACCATTTTTTATATGTATATGTAAGTAAAAAATTTTTGCTACCATTTTTAGCCACAACGACTTTTTTTAGCTCTTTTTTAGCCCTTTTTTTAAGGGAATTTGGCTACCAGTAAAAATTATGCGCGGCAACACTGCATGCAACATCTGAGAAGCAATCCGCATCTAAATCTAAACCACACTTTTCCAAAGGTTGACCTTGAGCATTATTGATTTGTGATTCCGAATGCCAATCGAATTGGGAATTGAAATGGTGTATCGGTCGGAATCACGGGAATTCTTCACCTTTTAAAGGCTACGTTAAGATCTTTACTTACACTACGTTCTTCATCAATTTCTTAACTGGGAGTCGCATGCCGTTGCTAAGTTTTGGCTAATTAATATTCCCCAGCACGATAATTGGCGCACCTATTTTCAGTTTCAGTATGTGGGGTCATCCCTGGAAGATCAATCGAGTTCAAATATTCAACAACGGTGTTTATTGACGTATATGCTATTTCCTCACTTTGAATGCTGGATTGAATAACATTAGTGGTATTCACCAAAGTGAGCAAGCAGCAGTGTGAAAGAGCAGATCAGCTCAAGCAACACGACTGTTGCCAACGCCACTATTATTTAGAATTAGAATTAATTAATTAATATAATTTATTCTCAATTCAGTGCTCTCTTGCAAATTTTTGCCTTATCATACACTTTTCCAGTAAAAATTTGCAGGTTCCAGTACAAATTGGTACTGACAATTGGTTACTATACAAACCTAATATTCTCTGTGCTATATGCTGCGAACAGTAACGGCAACTTTTGTTTGTTCCATGCAATGGCGGAATTATACCAGGTGAAGTAATTAGAGCGAGAAGAAAGATTTTGACACTGCCTTATTTGAAAAATTGCCTTTAATGACAGAAAATAAAGCGGGAAAGCAGTTTTATTACTTCACCTGTTTATTGCGCCATGGTTCCAGGCAAACATTTTTAGGTTTTCCAGCAATGTTTTCAACATATTAAAAAGCATGCAAATAAAATTCATACAAAAGTGCTATGTCCAATTTGTTGAGCAGTTTTTAGAGACGACTCTTTTCCTTTCCTTCTGTCAGTAAACTGTTTTTGTTACAAATAGTATAAATAGCACTGAGAAATAAGGCAAAATTTGCTTTATTTCCAACAAAGGTTGGCAAACTCAAATTTTGGTATTATTTCCTATTTAAAAGTGGAATAGAGCCAATTTTGCGTTATTGCCGTTTGCTTTATTTCAAAGCTTGCACAAAAACGAATCGAACTTAAACAATTTTTTTTTAAATTAGTCTCCTTAGAAATAGTTTGAGTATTCAGTTTTATAGCCCATTAAATTTTAGTATAATAAAATGACCCTCGGTGTCGTTAAAAATTATCGTTGATTTTTTTAGATATATTTTTTTTCATTGCTGACAAGCATTTTCTTTTTTTCCATACGAAGCATGAACAAAATTTATTTTTATATAGAAGTAAATGTGCAAGACCCTCTACAAAAAAAATCTAAAAACTCAACGGTGATTTTTAGCGACCTAATTTAAAAATTTTTATTTATCTGGTTTCTGTTAAAGATCGAACCATTTTTATATTAAAATAAATAAAAATAAATAAATATAAGTTGCCAACCACATCATTTAAAATGTTGCTACTATTATTTTACTTGCAGCTATTTGTATGTATACAGCTTACCTTTTTCATATCCAAACATGTTCAAAGGAAATTAGTATTATTTTTTTTATAATTTCGCCAAACTCATCTCAGTATCGTTTCATTAAAAAACAACAAACTTAAATAATAATATGCAACAAATTCTACTGAGCACGAGGCCGTTGTTTTCATTAAAAATTATAAATAATAATAATAAACAATAAATAGTTTACAAACGGTAGAAGTTATAGATGCTATTTCGGAGATCACTACATCTCCTAATCAGAATTCTTCATCGCGGTCACTGGGATATGAACCAGCCACTTTGGAATTAATGTCAGTTGACATAAATTCTCGACATTAGCACAAAGCCCAAAAGTGAGTTAATGTCAAAACATATTAAGTCACTTTGGAATTGATTTACCCCTTAAATTTTATTATTTAGACTAAAATTCACACATTGAAAATGTGTTAATGTCATCAAAAATGTTACTAGCCATCCAAACATTACGCCTTTAATAACAATAATAAGAAACATTTATTAATTCATTTATGTAAGAATTACAAGCAAATACTTTAGCCAACAAAAACTTCATTTATCAATATCAAATTCCATTCGATATAATGCAATTTATTACATGAAAAATTATGTCATATCCTGCGATTATTTTCGCCTGCAATAATGACACAAGAAAGTGGAGCTATTTGTCTTTGAACTTGTAAATAAATTTAAAATGTGCGTTTGTATGTCATAAAAAACATAAAGAAAATGTGTGAACGGCAAGGCGCGACGCGACGAGGGGTGGTCGCGGACCACCGCACAGTGGTGCCCGAGAGGAAAAAAGTACATTTTTATAGGTCTGCAGACCTTTTATTTTAATTATTACATGTACTTAATTATTATAATTGTACCACAGCAATTATATTTTAAGAAATATAAACCTTAAAGTAAGATAATGGCAACACGTGCGTTTTTCACCAAAAATGTAGGTACCTTGTAATGTATTTTTAGAAATAACTTATATTATTTCGACTATTGCAATACGTTTGTTTATGCTAATTGAATCCTTTTTTTAGTTTACTGTATACATTTTCGATAAATATTAAGTTAAACATAAATTATGGAAATAATATCTATGTATATTTTAAATGTTTTCTGTCAATGTCAAAGGTTATAAGTGGACGTCTTGGAATCACTAATATATAGCTTTCAGCTGTGGTAAACTGCAGGGTTTATTCCTACTCTCATATACTGGTGATGGAATTTATGCAATTTTAAGGCGGTTGATAATTCGAGTTTGTATGGGGGGTAAGCTTTAAAATCAACCCACCTTGCCCATTTTTATAGAGTTCACATAAGGACAAATTTTGGAGTCATATCATCGGTGCGGTTTTAATGGCCGATTTCGAGCTTAGGCTTGTATGGAAGGTATGCTTTAAAATAGACTGATCGCGACCATTTTTCTTTTTTTCTTGATTTATGCCCACAACTGTGACATATGAAAAATGAAAGCCCTACGCCAACTCCTAATTTTTTCGAAAAAATGTTTGGGACGGCACCACTGTGTGCCGTGGTGTTATGCAATGACGCCGTGGTAGAGCAATAATGTCCATGGATTTTGCTGCGCTTTCGAAAAGGAAATATCGTCTATAGACAATAGATAAGCAATAGTGTCCTGACCTTATTACACGTCATCCTATTGCTTGCATGATTTTTAACATTTCTGACTTTAATTCACTTTTCGATTCTGTGTTAATATCAGGATCCTAAAAAATGTATATATTTTTTTGACCTTCTCCGAAGATTACTTATGGCAATGACATAATTTCCACAATTCTTCTGACATTATTGCACGCCACCAAAAATTTTCCAATCCTACTGAGAATTTTCGAGTTTGTCCTTAATGGTCCAAGAGATATTTTGAGTAGGGGTAGTGTCTTTATGCTATTAAATTATTATCGTCAGCTGCATGACCCTATAAAAATTCAAAAAAGAAAAAAAAATGTTTTCTATATCTAACCCTAATCGCCAAAAATATGTAAGCCACGTTTTATTAAAAATTTTACATTTGATGCAGAAATTCATCAGATGCTCTAGGAGAATTTCTGCATCGAAAAGAAAATTTTGAACAAATTTCGCTTACATCGTTTTGGCGGCTAAGGTTCGATGTTATTGCTTTATTCGAGTATGGTAATATTTTTTTCAAGTTAAAATATCGTTCTAGGTATTTTTAACTTGAGTTTGAAATGCACAGAAAAAAACGACAATGGTAAGAAAATAACCCGTCTGGTTAGCAAATATTCGGGCCATAAAGTTTCAACCGAAAGATGTATGTTTGTACTAAAGTACTACCCGCTTATTTGGTATATCCCATTTAATTGATTTACCCGCTTATTTAAATCAGCACAAATATACATTACATACAAATTTAACTGCATAATTGAATCCGGATAGTTGGTTTCGCCGCCTAAAAGGTTCAAAATTTGTATTATAGAAAAGTAATGTACTTTTAATTTTGTCCGGCCAATTGTTTCACAAGTCTATTTAATATTTTATAACATTGGTATCTATAAATATGAATTGTTTTGCTTTTTATTTTTTTATTTTTTAAAACTAAAATTTTTACTTAAATATAAAAAAATAAACATTTAAGTTAAGCATATACATTTTCTTTCAAATGGTTAGGTTGTCCAATTAAGCAGGATTTCTATAATTGAACGAAGTATTCAATTAAATTAGTATCGGTTAATTGAATACTTGGATAATTGAACCAAAAATTTAGCAATTTTTCAAGTTTAATTTACCTAAAACTACTGTACGTATTTACATATGTATCATAAGTATATAAAAACTTAAAAATACATATGTACTCGCTTTGTTCAGGCTGAGCTTTTTATTGCATGTTTAACTGCAATAAGCTTAATATATGCATATGTAGTAATGCAATTACAAGACCTACATGTCTACATACATGTGTTGATCGACTATATGTTGGGTATAAATAATGGGATAAAAATGTAAAGGTTTTTTAGTTGTCTAGTGCTTTTGAAAACGATTGTAACTGGTAGTAAGCAAAACTTTAAGTGGAAAATATGGAACGTTGGAATAATCGCATTGCTGTAGTCACAGGTGCAAGCTCTGGTATTGGAGCCGCTATTGTTCGACACCTGGCCACCAGGGGACTTGTTGTGGTAGGTCTCGCACGTCGCGTGGAACGAGTGGAAGCGCTGCGGAATGAAGTAGATGCCGTGGCGGCGAAACGCATCCATGGCCTCCAATGTGATATGCGAAATGAGGCAGAAGTCGTAGCTGCCTTTAAGAAAATCGAAGCCAAGTATGGACCTGTGGCGGTTTTGGTAAATAACGCTGGTATTGGCCGTCATAGCTCTTTGTTAGCTGAAGGCAGTTCTCACGATGCCCGAGATATCATTGAAACTAATGTATTGGGGTTGGTTAATGCCACACGGGAAGCATTTCGCTCGATGAAGGCAAACGGTGGTGATGGACATGTTTTCTTAATCAATAGTATTACCGGACATCGAGTGCCAAGTGTCCTTAGTATTCCAATGAATATCTATTCACCATCCAAATTTGCGGTAACTGCATTGGCAGAAGTTTATCGTCAAGAGTTTTTGAGCATGCAAACCCAAGTGAAAATTACGGTACAGCAATTGTCGCCACGGTTTATGATGAAGTTCTACTTTATACATGTATTTATTATTTGCTTTTAATTTACTTATTTTAGAGTATTAGCCCTGGTTTTGTAGACACGGAAATAATAACAAGCGAAATGGCTGAAAAATTGAAAAATATGCCACGTTTAAAGGCGGACGATGTTGCCGATGCTTTAATTTATTGTTTGCAAACTCCGCCCCATGTACAGGTTAGCATTTCGTTAGCTATTTTAAAACTTGTATATCTCAATCTCTCTGGTTTACTTACTACTTTACAGATTCATGAGCTGACCATTAAGCCTGTTGGAGAGAAAGTTTAGCGCGCGCGGATAAGTGTATATATGTACATACATATAGATGTGCTTACTTATTAGAATACGTGATGTTTTTTTATCGTTATCTTAGTAAAAAAATCAGTGATCTATTCAAATTTAAATTTAAGTACATACATACTTACTTTCAAGAAAATTTAAATTTTTAATAAGTACATGGATTAGGTAAATGTTCAAATATTTATTATTTTAGTTTAATTTACCGTCTATATAAACAAGATATTCTTAAAGATTATTTAATAAGTTGGCATTAAGTTTTTTTACATTAACTACAAAATTTATAAGATGATGCTTAAAAATAAAGTTAAAGTACAGTTACGTAATAGTCAACCGCTTTAAATATGATAGAGTCGTCTCTTTATTGGAGGGAAACGTATGATACCAGTAACTTTATTTTAAGTTCAAGAGCATGCGCATCGATCGCAAAGCGACACAAAGCACACTGATCGGATTTTTGGTTAAACTTGAAAGTTTAGGCAAGCGGGTTGGTTATTTTTTGAATTATCCCATTTCAACAAAACTGAACTGGTCCACAGTCACAAGAGGACAAGATTAGCCTCCATATTTCTAGGGTATGGTTTCTGATTTCGAGTATACCATTCGGTTTTTTTTTATCAAAATGACAATTTATTGTAAATTTAGGAACATTTTTAGTAGCAAATATCAAGCCGTTTGTACTTGTAAACTTGTAAACAACTTGTAAAAATGGACTCAGCCATATTTCGCTCTAAGATAGCGATATATATACTATACACACATCTGAGAAGCCACTTTATGAAGCAAAACATTGAAAATGTTTGTTATAAGCCAAAATTTCACTCTATTCAGGCATAGAATTTATCTATAGGTGCATTTTTTTTTTGTAAACGAGCGACAAAAGAACGCGCAACGAGGCATTTGCGTAATGTATATACTTATTTAAAATATTAAACAAGTATTTAAGGTTACAAAAATTTCCCTCACCACTTTCCCATTAACGATACTCAATAGAGAAGTTTTCAGGTCGCTTATATTCTATCCGAGCGAATAACCAACTTCTTAATCATATGTGTAAGGAAGACTTTAGTTTAGGTTTTTTCAACAAAATTTTGTTCTAGTTTTTCTGAAAGATACATATCAGATTAACATATACAAATTTAAAGTGATGCACTTTTGAAGAACGTCGGTCCTTCCGGCCGGCTAAGTAGTAAATTTCTAAAGTTAGTCAAAAGCAGGTTGGTGAACATTTACATATATGTAATTTCATACTTGTTCCATGACTAAGCAATTCATTGAATGACTTTGCAAATTTAATTAATACTTGAGTTAATATATGTATGTACATATATAAATAAATACAGTGACTTACACAAGTGTTCACATGTTGATTTCTCCTTAAATCTTCACAACGCTTTTCAAGTTAAAGTCGTCACAAGAAAAAAGTAATAAAAATCAACGCAACTTTTTAGCCGGTTGAAACTTGCACTTCATCAGACTAAAATTGTGTGGGCTATAAAACTGAAACCCAGAAATGTTTTAAAGATTCATATTAAAAAGCTCGACATTTTGAAGAAAATTTTCCTAAATTTTGTATGTTGAAACTCTAATTTATATGGTTTTGGCTAAAGCTTGGACAATATTTTAATAGAAAAAAATTTAACCTGAAAAACGTTGTAAATATTAAAAAAAAAATCAACACGTGAACACTTGTGCAAGTCACTGTACATATAGCTACTCTTCTCTTATTGGCCAGTGACAATTAAAACAATTAGTGATAGAAAAGTATCGATACTAGTACTCACATAGAATACTCTAAAGAAGAATCGATGCCAGTACTCATATTTGCAAAAAAGTATCGATAATACTCGTACTTTCAAGTATTTTTAAAACATGAAAAGTAAAAAAAATCAGATTGCTTTGTTTTCATGACCTCTTCCTATTTGTAAATTAAATTGACACTGCTTTAAATAGTTGAAATGTGATCTAGCAAGCACTTCAAAAAGAAGTTTTGAAATAAACTTGCAAAAATTTTACTTCTACAAGTGTAAAGTAATCGTTTATAGCAAAGAACTACATATAGGTTTTTAAGAGCAAATATTCTATAATGTTTGATGCGTATACAGTGAAACCTCTTNAAGTACTAAAATAAGCTTCACTTCCATTGAGCGGACACCTCTCTTGGGCGGGCAAAAAATGACTGACGGTGAGTGTCCGCCCAAGGGAGGTTTCACTGTATTTATAAACCAGTTTACTTTTAAAATAAAATTCAAATGCAGAAAATGAGAAACAAATGTTGTGAAGTCCATTCTCTAAATAGATGCTCTCTTTCATAAAAATTGTCTTCCAGAATAGGCTGGATTCCGAATTCACAACGAGGGTAGAATATATTCGCTAACGAAGGCTTTGGTATGCTGGAGAATAGCCAAGTTATCGATTCGAATTCCATTCTCTTACCCATTCATTATAGAAGGTGAAGTCAAAATATTCATTCTCCAATTATTTAAGAATTTTTAACCAAAGCCAATGTTGAAAAGACCGCTGCCCCTTTTCGATGGTGTATAAAAATTTCATAGCTGTACCGATTACCAGTAGCTCATAAGAACAAAATAGGTATTAATTTTTAGTTTGGGAGTATGTAAATTCAATACTTTAAAGCCGTTTTTCTAGGCTTTTTTTGGGCTACGAAAGTGTTGAAGTATATGAGCGTTATGTTCCTTTTCACGACATTCATATTGGTTGTGGAAGTAATTTTCGAATTTTCGACATTTTGTAATTGAAAGAACGAAATTTTTCATATGGATTTTTAATTTTTTTACTTAAAATAGTGCTTAAAACTTCGATATTTTTTGTTATTCGCGATACTTACTCAGTACTTGTCAAAAAGTATCGATTTCCCGATACTACTCAGTACTCATGAAAAGTATCGATATTCTGTACTCGGTACTCGTATCGTTCTATCACAAAAAACAATGACTTAACAAGCTTTAAAACTACTAACTGCAAATTAGAAATGAGAGAATTTGAATTACAGTCAATCAATACATATGTATGTATGTATGTAAGATCAATTATATGTTCATCAACATGCATATGTACATAAATATATACTTATATGAACATTGTTGTAAAAATACATACATATATATGCGCATTTCCAATCTGGCTAAGCTAAAAGTTTGTATATCAGGAAAATTTGATCCTCTGAAGATGAGAAAAATATTTTTTGTGGAAATATTATCGTTCAAAAGTTATAGCTTGCCGAATATATTTGACAGGGCACTTCAAATTTGTAAAAATTGTTAAAACTACAAATAAACAATTAAAAGCGACTCATTTAAATTCAACCTAATTTCCATATGGTTTCAGTGAAATATGAACAAAAAAGATTGGTTTTGATTTTAAGAAGTTATTCTGGTTATCGCATTTACATATATACTACTAGCCGCCCTCGTATGGTTTTGGCTAAAGCTTGGACAATATTTTAATAGAAAAAAATTTTACCTGAAAAACGTTTTAAGTATTAAAAAAAAATCAAAACGTGATCACTTGTGTAAGTCACTGTGCATATGTATAGCTACTCTTGGCTAATTGGCCAGTGACTATTTAAACAATGACTTAACAAGTTTTAAAATTACTAACTGCAAATTAGAAATGAGAGAACTTGAATTACAGTCAATCAATACATGTATGTATGTATGTGAGATCAATTATATATTCATCAATATGCATACAGTGGCGGATACAGGGCGATTGGGATCAACTTGTCGAATAACGTTAAATTACAGGCATGTAACCCTAACTTATTTTTCATGAAAATATATGTTCGAGCATTTTTTATGAAGTGTTTTGTGATTTAATATTATTTTTCATGTTGTGAANAAATGAGAGAACTTGAATTACAGTCAATCAATACATGTATGTATGTATGTAAGATCAATTATATATTCATCAATATGCATACAGTGGCGGATACAGGGCGATTGGGATCAACTTGTCAAATAACGTTAAATTACAGGCATCTAACCCTAATTTATTTTTCATGCAAATATATGTTCGAGCATTTTTTATGAAGTGTTTTGTGATATAATATTATTTTTCATTTTGTGAATTTGGTGCAAGATCTAATAAAGCAATTGCATGTTTTATTAAAAAAAAAACACAAAATATCTAAAGTTATACCTTATTAATGCAACATATATATATAAATACTTATTTCTTGGTTACAATGTTGGTAAAATGAAGGATGTAATTAAGTAACTTAACAACTTATTCAGAATTATTGTTGCAATAATTTAAATTGCAAGTTCAATTTTGCGCTTTCCTTTTGCGAATCTCTCTATTATCCTTTCAGTGTCAATTTCAATATCTAAGTGTACGTGTAAAAGTGCTAGACCTATCAGTCTGTCTTCATTCATGGAAATACGCAACCATGTTTTTAACCGGCGAAGGGTTGAAAAACTTCTTTCGGAAGTAGCATTACTAGGAAGTGTGACCAGAATGCGGATAAGTTTGTTAATCAATGGAAAAGCATATGCGTCGCATTTACCAAGAACTTCTGCTGCTGATTTTGGGAATGGCTTTTCGCTTTCCTTATTTGTCCATCGTTCCAACCACACTTTACACTCTCCTTCCAACTTGATACCGTCTTTTTCTATCGTTTTACAAGCGAGAACCCTATGGATATATATATATGCAAGACTTGCTCGTTTAATGTAATAACGTATTTGTCTGAAATATTTTGGGTGACGTTTTAAAATATAATAGACCAGCAGACGCGGCCCAAAATTAGATTTTTAATTTAAACATTTTGGTCCAACAGTTTCTCCAACAATCCACATTTACGATTTGATTTTCTTTAATTTTTTGTTTTTTTTTATAACCAACTGCATAATCATTATTTGTGGCTGAATAAACATACATATCTACAATGTTAACTAGTAGATTATGGTAACTTAGGTAAGATATGAAACGTTTTATTTCAATATTATTAATATTACTGGAAAAACCGCATCAATGTTAGCCGCTCCTTTGGTTGATGGATCATTAACTATTTCCAGTAAACATTTTTCTTCAAAATTTTTTGTCAGTTTATAAGATTCGGCCAGCAAAAAGTTGACGTTGAATCTCCTGCGAGAATTACAGGTCTACTTATCTTTATCGTCATATTCATCTTTATTCAAAACCATTTCTTTTGATAACCATATTGGGACATGATGCAATAATACAAGGTAGTATCAGTTGTGACAGCTCGATTTGACACTGCCTTAGCTCAATAGAATGAGAAGAAAAACGGGAAGAAATGAGTCCCCATGTGGGGGAAAAATATAGAATTTCACATTTTTTCCTAAACAAAAT